AAAAAAAAAATTATAATTTTTCTGGAATAATCAGGTCCATGAATTTTTAAGAATCAGGCTGTGATAATGAATCTATTTTAACATTTTATGCTACTTAAAGTGGAAGTGCTAAAGAGGAAAATGGACATCAATAGGAAATATAGAAAAATCTGTTCCATTAAAATGGTGGATAGTTGCTGTCTAAATTTTAGATTCTGTTACTTAACTGCCAGCTATAATGTGTTAGCATAAAGTGGAGATGAACAGCATTTATTGCTACTGAAGAGCAGACATAGCTTTTTGAAGTAGCTGAACCATTACGGGATAAACTGGTGCAAATTCTTTGCCTTCTCTACTTCTCACGGACTGGACATAGGCTTCCAGGGCTCCCCTGAAAACCAAAATGAAAATAATGTCAAGGTTTTACATAAAACAGCTTAGGAGGCACCACTATAAATTAGAAATAAGCTCATTTCTGAAAGTGCTTTGCTCAGTTCCACAAGCCAAATAGCCAACAACCTTGAAACACTGATTGGCAGAAGGACTGTAGTTACTACGATTAGTGTGCAAAACTATTATCTCACTTAGTAGCCTAAGTCATATACTTGGAATAGTTTGTAGATGTGCATTGACTAGTCACATAACCCAGAGGCTCTCTGGCCTTTAAGTATGTGCTCCATTTCCCTCTCTTCTACTTCGCTAATAAAGAGACCTCGCAAGCAGCTCATGCCTATTCCCCGAGCTCACAGGTGGCAGCCTGTGCCTTGGAAAGGCCTGCTCAGGAGTCCTGGGGGTGGGGCCCTTTGGCACCATGCAGGTGAACTGTGAAGAACCCACAACTTAGGATAATGCTTCTTGGGCTCTAATTTTTGGCAAATAGGTGATAAAGAAGCGGTCTGCCTTTAATTGAGGGTATGTGGCACTGTTCACTTATGATTGGCACCACAATCATAACTGATGATGATTTCATGAGTTAGATCAACAGTCAGCAATCTGCCTGCAGGCCAAATCCAGCCCAGTGCTTGTTTATGTGTTATCTATGGCTGTTTTCACACTGTAACAGCAAAGTTGAATAGCTAAAGCAGAGACCATATGGCCTTAACTTTTCTGGCCTAATTACGGGAAAAGTTCACCAGTCCCAGAACCAGATCATCTGTTTAACTGGAGCTAAAAACAGTTATAAGATTGTTAATTTTTCATTATTGGTCTATTTAAGTCCCATGTGTACACGTTGATTTTTGTCTAATTTTTTTCTTTTAAAATTTCATACCTTGAGATTAGAGGATTTCTATAAAGATGTAAGTTAACAACATTAGCTCACATAGTCTTGATCCCATTTTTTTTTTTTTTTTTTTTTTTGAGACAGAGTCTCACTTTGTCACCTTGGGAAGAGTGCCGTGCTGTAGCATCACAGCTCAGAGCAACCTCAAACTGTTAGGCTCAAGTGATCCTCTTACCTCAGTTTTTCATTTTTGAGTAGAAATGGGGTCTCTTGCTCGGGCTGATCTGTCTCCTGAGCTCAGGCAATCCACCCGCCTCAGCCTCCCAGAGTGCTAGGATTACAGGCGTGAACCACTGTGCCCAGCCCTGTATTTTTTTTAAAGATGGGTCTCACTCTGTCTCTGTCACCTAGGGTCGAGTGCAGTAGCATAGTCATAGCTCGTTGTAGCCTTGAACCCTATGCTCAAGCAATCCTCCTGCCTCAGCTTTTTCACTGGACTGGAGTGTACTTCCTGGAATCTGTCCCTCTCACTGCTCGCTCTGTAGTGCCTCCACTCTAACCAACCACTGTCATAAGGAAATGAATCTCAAATCTTTATTTCCAGCCCTGACCTCCCTCCTGATTTTTGTTTGCACTTGTCCTTTGGACATAATTATCTTCCTTGCACAGCTCTTTATCTCTTAGAACTCAACTTCACATGATCCCTTTCTCAAGAGCCAGGCAGCACAAAAGAGTGGAAACCACGTTGGAGTAGCATAAATTTGTGGAAAGGTCTGACTTCTGTATGAGCAGCCTTGACTGATCAGGATCTAAGCATTTTGGAATCCCTGAAGGTAGGCTCAGAGTGTGGGTACTTTAAATCAGCTATGTGGAGGGATGGGCAAGTGCTTATTTAAGCACCATAGCTTTTTAGGCCCAGCATGGTGGCTGACACCTATAACTCTGGGAGGCTGAGGCAGGAGGATCACTTGAGGTCAGGAATTTGAAACCAGCCTAAGCAAAAGTAAGGCCTGTCTCTACAAAAAAGTAGAAAAATTAGCAAGTATGGTGACCTGTGCCTGTAGTCCCAGCTACTCAGGAGGCTGAGGCAGTAGGATCACTTGAGCCCAAGGATTCAAGGTGGCAGGCAGCTAGCATGACACTAATGTACTCTAGCCGAGTCGAAAGAGCAAGACTGTCTCCAAAAAAAGTATAGGATGTAAATTAATATACTATTACTCAGTTCACAGTCCCAAGTCCCATCTAATACATAATTCTTAACTGGCAAGCAAGATGGAATTTAATGCTCTTAGTTCCAATTCAGAGCTGACCCTTGATGGAGCTGTTTATGTAAAAACTTGCTTCTTTTAGTAATTCTTGTCTAGGTGCTATGGCAGCCTGGAAAATTGCCCCTACACCCTCAAGTGTAGTCCCTACAGATTCATAGTAGAGAAATCCCCATAGGCCCAGCTATCTGAGATAATGGTCTCTATTAGTCTAAGAAATAAAGTACCTGCAGCCTCAAGGTCACATGTGGCCCTCCAGATCCCCAAGTGTGGCCCCTTAACTGAATCCAAACTTCAGTACCTTTAGTTAGAGGATTTCTTCTGTAAAGTTTGGATTCAATCAAAAGGCCACACTCAAGGACACAGAAGGCCACATGTCGCCCCAAGGTTGCAGGCTCCCACTCTTCCATTCTATTTAGTAAAGGAACAAAAACTTCAACTTTGCAGTTTCAGTGGCATTTAAGAGGATAAGAAATCATATAAAATACACAATATGTAGAGGAAAGCTCAAATGAATTGGGTTAGATTTTTGGTATTCATCAAAAATACCATCAGAAGTATGGGGTAAAAAACAGAGTAAGTTTCCCTCCCACATAAAATCAGAGCAAGTTATTCAAGCACTTATTAAATTATTTCATTTACTTCAGCAAAACATAGCTTTCTTGGAAGTCAGGCCAAGCATTATGTAAGAGTTAGTCTTAACTCTGGTTTGTTACCAAAATAAGTAGATTATTGAAGTTATCCTTACTGAGAAAAACAAAACAAAGCACATAATTAGTAGAGAAATGGCCTGTGTTAACATGGCAACACTGTTCAATATGACAGAAACGAACCAAGTGGAGGTTTTCAGAGGAAACAAAGTTGATTTTTGTCAGGCATTAAGTATTCAGTGTGGTTAGGACCAAACTACATAAATGACTTAAGGATATGGCACATGCCTCGAAAGGCAATGACCTCAGGCTTTTCCCTGGCTCCATCCTCCCTCTTGGTCCCATCTCAGGCCCTCGGTTCCTAGAAATGCTAAGTGTCTAGTGACTGGCTTCCAGGGGCAGAAACTACCCTTACCAACAGGATTCTTGGAGGTTTGCAGAGTATGTAGGAGCTGAGGGGATGGGTCCCAGGAGCACAGCAAGAGGGCAAGGGGCCCAAGGATGGGTAGGTACCAAACATTCTCTGATAACCGTACAGGTGAAAGTACCACTAGGCTCCTAAATGTCAACACTTCTGACAGCATGAAAGTATATTCCTGCTCAAGAGGACCATTACAGAAGAGCTGCTGTTCCCCTGCAAATATCAAGGGCAATGGCTTTGAGGCTCCACTTCCACACAGCTCAGGAAATCACTGCACCAAAACTCACTGTCAGGTACACAACATTTATGTGCTTACATTAATTAAAAACTTAAAAATGCACTAGGTGGCACCTGTGGCTCAGTTGGGTAGGGCGCCGGCCCCATATACTGAGGGTGACGGGTTCAAACCTGGCCCCAGCCAATTTGCAACAAAAAAATAGCCAGGCTTTGTGGTGGGTGCCTGTAGTCCCAGATACTTGGAGGCCGAGGCAAGAGAATGGCCTAAGCCCAGGAGTTGGAGGTTGCTGTGAACTGTTAGATACCATGGCATTCTACCTAGGGCAATAAAGTGAGAATCTGTCTCTACCAAAAAAAAAAAAAAAAAAA